CCTCAGAGCAGTGCAGAAGGGAGCTCCCCGGGCCCAGGCTGGCGCAGCCCATGACACACGGGCACCACTGACTGAGTTCTGCTGGCTCCTGCCATCGGATCATCGTGGTGCACCGGCCGTAGCGCGCCGGCTGCAGTGGCCATTGGGGGGTGAACCAATGGAAAAGGAAGACCTTTCTCTCTCTCTGTCTCTCTCACTGTCCACTCTGCCTGTCCAAAAAAAAAAAAAAAAAAAAAAAAAAAATTCTAGTGGGCTTGAATAGGCACCGGCGGCCACGCCCGCGCCTGCGCCCGCCCCACTTTGGGGGAGTGTGGGGGAGGGGCTGGTCTTCCGCAGCTGCTTGTGCGTCCACAGTTCTCGGGAAGCGCCCAGCACCAGGGAGCAAGGCTTCCTGCGCGACTCGGACGCTGGAGGCAGACACGGCATCTCCGAAGGGAGAACGTTCTGGGAGCGGTGTGGGGAGGGCCTGTGGGCAGGCACCGCCCGCGGCTCCTCGGCCTGTGAGGCGGGGGATGGGCAAGGTGTTCCCCACCTGCCCAGGGTGCTGCAGGCACCCCCAAACCCTGCTTATCCAATAAGTCAGAAAAACAGAAAGGGGAGACATAGGCCAAATAACAAACAGTGCATGAGGGGCTGGCGTTGTGGCGTACGGCATCTCATATGGGCGCCAGTTCGAGTCCCGGCTGCTCCACTTCCGATCCAGCTCTTTGCTATGGAAGATGGCCCAGGTCCTCGGGCCCCTGCACCCACACGGGAGATTTGGAAGAAGCTCCTGGCTCCTGTCTCCCGGCTTTGGATGGCCCAGCTCTGGCTGTTGCAGCCATTTGGGGAGTGAACCAGCAGTCCCAGCTCACCCTGGGGCCAGTGTTGCTCTGATCCTAAGACCAGACCAGAGCCTGAAGAGCAAAGTGATGGCCTCGTACAGCCCGGCAAAGCATGGTCGGCTTTGGCGGTGTTGCTCTGGGAGGGCAGGGGTGGGTTTTGTGTCCACACCTGACTGCCCGCCTCGCCCTGCTCATTGTCCTGAGCCTCCTGCGGCCTGAGCCCTAAAGGCAGCGGAGGAAGAGAAGGGGGGAGGGGCGATCAGGCTCTCTGGGGGAAGGAAGTCTCTGGCAGCAGGTCCCGGCACGCGCCAGGCCCGCTCAGACACCTGCGACGCCGGGGCTCTCCCCTGCCCACAGCTTGGCCCGGGCTCCCAGAAGGAACCACGGAGGCGTCACTCGGGCAGCCCACCAGTGTGAGCGCCTCCATTCCAGACTCCAGCACCCTCCCCCGACATGCAGAACTCAGTCCTCCATCGGCTTAGAAGGGAGCACGGCGTTCGCGCTCCTCACTCCACCACACCTTCCTTCCTGTCTCTGTCTGTTACTGCGTCTCTCCCTCTCCCTCTCCCCCATCACTCCTTCCTTCCTGTCTCTCTCTGTCTCTGTCTTGCTCACATGCCTGGTGCTCGCCGTCACCTGGGGCCTCCGTGGCCTCCCCACGTGGCCAGCTCTGGTGGGGAGTGGAAGCAGCAAGGAGCCGCTCTGCATCTCTTACCCATCCCTGGGGCCACGCAGTCACCGAGGCAACCAAGTCCCCGGGGGCCGGGAGTGGCGGGGTTTGCAGGGCAAGGAGGCCCAGGGCTGGCCTGGGAGGTGAGCCTGCCCACCCTGCTGCCTCCCAGCCCTGCCAGGGCCTCCTCGGACCCCAGGGTCCCGGGGACTGCTCGGGGACGGCCACTGCCTCACGGCTGTGCGGAGGACTCAAGATGGCTCCTGTCTTTCGATACGAGGGAGCGGAGGCTCGGCGCTCCCGGGCGTGGACAGGTGAGCAGGGAGCCCAGCGGGAGTTCTTGGAAGGGGAGGGGATGTGGCCGTGCACACCCCAGCTCTCTGCGCCCTGGGCACGCTGGGGCCGCATGAGCCTGGGTCTCAGCCGGCGTCTCGGGCATCCACCCTGCGAACCAGCACCTGGGACCCGCGGGAGCCCTTGCGGCAGGGGCCGGCAGCCGCGGGCCACCGAGGGGCCTCGAATGGCCTCCCTCCAGCCGAGGGAGCCACTCTGAAGCGGAGACCTGGGCCGGCCTCCTGGAGAGGGGTGCGTCTGGGGAGCCGCGGTGTGTCAAAGCCACCCTGCACCATGGCTCCACATCTCCAGGGCCCTGAGCAGGCCGAAGAGCGGCGTGGGTGGAGAGGGCAAGGGGAGTGGGGCACGGGCCCCCGGGCCAGGCCGGGCCAGGCGGCGGCCACTGGGGAGACGGACAGTGTGGGCTTGAGTCACTCAAACTCCTTCCCTTCCAGAGGTGACTCAAACTGCCCCTAAATAGCCTCATCTGTGCTCTTCCTCCTTTTGGCTGAAATTAAACTTGGAAACGGCTTGGAAGGGACTTTGAGGAACGTGGGAACCCAGGCCCGCACACGTGAAATGCCGTGGGCCACGGACCCACGCAGCAGGACAGGCGAGCGGGGCCGAGCTGGGTGCTGGGCCCCGAGCCGAGAAGCTGCCACCTAAGGGTTGACTGCTTCAGGGAACCTCGGCCGGTGCAGACCCCTGCCGGCGCCCGGCGATGTGGCTGGCCCCGGGAGCGGCTCACGCATGCGGGGTCCCAGGGCCCCGTCTCCTGCAGTTCTGCGCACTCAGTCATCACGCACCTAACTCGATTCTCCTGGCTTAAAGAATTAGAAATATGATGTGCTTCACATATGTGGTTCCAAATTAGGTTAGCGAGCCAACGTCTGTCTTAGGGGTGGGTGATTTAAACACGGAGCAGGGGAAAATAGTTCTTCGAAATGCTAAGCAGTTACCGTATTACCCAGGAATGCCACTCCTAGGTGCGTGCCCCCAAGGCCTGAACACAGACTTGCGTGAAAAGCTGCACGCATGCACACAGCAGCCCGGAGGGGCAACAACCCAGTGCCTGCCAGCTGGTACTGGACAAACCGGGAAGACCGACCGTGCAGTGGGACAGGGACGAAGCCAGGACACGGGAGGTGGTGTGGACAGACCCCCGAAGCACGACGCTGTGTGGCTCACCTGCTACAGAACCACCAGAGTCGGAGAGGGGAGCTGAGGTGGCCGGGAACGCGCAGAGGGCGGGGTTGGGTGGCAAAGCCGCCATGGCCACGACAGAGGTGGTGCTGCAGAATGCCCCTGTGTGCCCAGCAAGGGTGACGTGCACCTCGTGGGAACTTCACCCCTACTCAGAGAGAGCAAACAATGGCTGTTTTTTTGTTTTTGTTTTTTGACAGGCAGAGTGGACAGTGAGAGAGAGAGACAGAGAGAAAGGTCTTCCTTTTGCCGTTGGTTCACCCTCCAATGGCTGCCACGGCCGGCGCATCGCACTGATCCGAAGCCAGGAGCCAGGTACTTCTCCTGGTCTCCCATGGGGTGCAGGGCCCAAGCACTTGGGCCATCCTCCACTGCAGTCCCGGGCCACAGCAGAGAGCTGGACTGGAAGAGGAGCAACGGGGAAAGAATGTGGCACCCCAACCGGGACTAGAACCCGGTGTGCCGGCGCCACAGGCAGAGGATTAGCCTAGTGAGCCACGGCGCCGGCCAAACAATGGCTCTTAACCAAGAGTCCACTCCCTCCAGCTCAGCCCCTCTCGTCCTCCGCCCATCATCTGTCATCCCAAACAACGCAGGGAGGGTCTTGCTCTCCACACAGAACGCGCTCTCACAGTGCTCGATAGGCACGGAGGAGACACGGCCAGCTCCTGGTTCCGTGGCCGGCACGCGGCAGCGGCAGCGTCAGCAGGGGGAGCTGTTCCCGTGGAGCTGCGGCGGGGAGGGGACAGCTCGTGAGACAAGGCAGGACCCCGAGAATTCTTATCTCACGCAGCCTCAGACACAGGGGCCCAGCAGACGGAGTCTAGCGCTGAGCGTGGCTGCCCTGGCCGTCTCCAAGTGCAGCACCCACGGCATGAGCCACGAGAGGCAGTGGGCCCTGGGAAGGCGCCTGCCCCGGCAGCAACGCCTCTCTTGGCTTCCCAGGACACCGCACGCATGGCCACACAGCACACGGCGCCCAGCAGCTCTCGGGCCAGCCCAGCCCCGCGGCTCACTCAGCGCGCTCCTCGTCACCAAGGTCACAGCACTCAGAGACCACCCATCTAGTTATGGGTTACATTTTTATTTCTGGAATATAAAGATTGAATGGGGGGGTGTGGAGAAAGGGGTTAAAAAAGCGGACTTTGAAACCAACAGCTTCTGGTGTCTCCTTCATGATACAAACCACAGGCCGGGATACCCAGGCAGGCAGCTCCAGCAGGGCCGGGGGTGGGGGTGCGGGACCTTCCTCTCATTCCGCCTGGGGTCGATGTCCCCGACGGGGTGCGGCCCGGACCAGACTGGGGCTGCACCAGTCTTCCTTACGCTCCAGCAGTGCAGACATTCTGAAAACGTGGACGCCCCGCCCCCAAACCTCCACGCGCAATCCCTTCCCAGCCCCTTGCCAGGCCCTGGCCGAGCCGTGCGGGCAGAGCTGCGCTGTTCTCTGCTGCTCGCACTCTGCCAGCCTCTCACAAGGAAACAGGGCCCGGTGCACGCTCTGGTCGGAGAGCAAAGCGCATCTCCGAGAGTCTTGAACTTGACACACTGGCTAGCAGCGTTTTCCCAGGAGACAGGGGTGCGGGCAGAAGGGCGGCGCAGGGAAGCGAGGGGGCCGGCACCCAGGCCAGCGTCTCCCGCCGCAGCGATGAGCAAAGTGCAGCGAGTATGTGTGTGGCCCACGCCTCACCCCGGACATTTCTGAGTGAAAATATTTGGCAGGAGCCAAAGTTCATCCCCACCTCGCCTGGTGGGCGTTTCTGAAGCTCTGCCTAGAGCGCCCGGGAATCGGGCCACGGCCCCACCGAGGCTGAGGGGTTCCCCCAGCTGAGCAGCGGGAAGGCGCTCGGCCAGAGCCACTCCCACGTCCCCGGGTCGTGGGCAGCACAGCTTTGCAGCCCTCACACGCGGCAGAAACACTGACGGACGACGTGGGACTTCCCACACCCAGAACGAACACTCGCAGACAGTCCAGCAAGAATACTGTTTTATTGGGTCTGTTCTAACTACAAAGACAGCTGAAACGCAAACCACACGTCTCCTTCCCATGTGACAGTCTACTGAGAAACGCTCATGCACGTCTTAGGACACCGGGAATGGGACAGGGCGGGCGGCCACGGCGCACACGCGTGGCCCACGCCAGCTCTCCAGGGTCCTGCGCGAACGCTACACTACAGCTTCAGCTTTAGTTTCTTTCTGTGAGCCAGAAACTGCAAGACAGAGCCACCCGAAAGACGTTTCGGAGGTCACTGGTCCTGGGGAGAGCTCTCCGCCCGCCCACCTGCAGGGACAGGGACGCCACCGCGGGTGCAGTTCAGGCTTGTTCCATAAGGGGGCATTAATTCCTAAGGCACAAGTATCAGTTAAACATGTTTTAACGAAACCATGCTTTTTGGTTATATGGAACAACAGGTCACTGCTAGTATTAGCGCGTAGTAAGCAGTTACTTGTACAAAACGCAGTAGTAAAACCTACACTAACCTACGCAGGACAGTAGCTAGTCTGAACTCACATGCATCTACGGACTGGAGCTCGTTTTTGGTTGCTGTTTTCTTGGGGGAAGCAGAGGGCTCTAAGGCTTCGTGGAACAACGTTACACTTGAACAAATATATTACACCCCTTGCGTCGTGCTATTTACAGTCACTTTCCAATTTTGCCGTTTGGCAGCCTGGGGCACCGGCTGTCTGCAGGGCTCCCGAACGTGCAGGAGCCCAGGCACGTGCCCGTCAGAGGGGTGGCGGTGGGGACAGACCCCCACTTTGGGTCTTAGCTCGCTTCCCAAGACGGATGCTGGTTATTGCTAACGCGGGCTCCCCACCTGGGCTACTCATCACTCATCCATAAATGCAAGCCTGTCTATGTACACACATGCAAATGCAAGGTCACCCTGGAGCACAGCGATTCCTTGTTTTGTCCAGTAACCTGTCTGTGCTATTCAGCTTCCTTGTGCTACGTTCGAAGCCAGATTAAAACAGAAGTCCTAGCATGCTGCTTGTAGCAACCCTGTGGCTTTGGGGACACGGAGGAGGAAGTACCTGTGACAGAGCAGAGGTGACAGCTTGGACGATCTCAACAGCACACGGGGTAAGGCAACCAGGTTGCATGCTACAGCCCAGGAGAAGCCGAGTCACGGGAGGGAACCCCCGCCAGGGCTCGCGCACAACCTCGAGCCCCCCTGTGTTCTCTTCACTGATGCGAAGGATCAAGCCTCACAACGCCATGTTTGATAACTGCTGCTCCTACAAACACTCTCGCGGTAGAATTCAGCGCTCAGTTCTGCTGCTGGAACGCGGCGGTCGGGGTAAATAAGGCACTTCCAGTGCTGAGTCCAGGGGCGCGGTGGGGCCAGGCGCCGCCGGCCCCCTCAGGGCGGCTGCACAGTCCTCCCTGGCTCGCCCTGCCGGCCCCGATGAGATGACTTCTGCAGGAGAGGCAGCAGCCACCGCCCGCCCGCCCGCCACGCCAGCAAGCGACTTCATTGTCCATACGACAAACGCCGCAGCTCCTAGCTTTCGGTAGGCTGGCAGTTCCGAGTGACACCAGCTGTGCTCAGTTCACTCAGGCAAGGACGCGGGAGCTGGGCTCAGCTGTCCCCACGAACCGGCACACAGCTGCTGCGTGACCTCCAACATGCGAGCTACGAGTGGGTGTTGGCGCTGGACAGGTCGTTCCGTATGATTTCATTTACTGTGAGAACAGAAACAGAGAAAGTGTCAGGGCAGCCGTCCCCACGCGGAGCCACGAGCAGACAAAAGGCACAAGGAGACGCTGGCGGCCAAGCTCGCCGTCGGCTGTGCTCGGCTCGGCTCGGCACGGCACAGGCCGGCGTTTGCTTGACCCCACCACAGCCGCGAGTGCCCGGGGCCTCCGAGCTCCTGCTCTGGCGGGGAGCGGGGTGGGAACGGCTCTCTGCCGGGACGGGCCCCCGCCCAGGACAGGCGCCAGGTGTGGACCTCGGTGCTCTGGTGCTGGGCGAGGGTGTCCCTGCCCGATGTGTTCACGGACTTGCAAAACAGGTGAGTCACCACGGAGGCCTCTGGGGCCTGCTCGGGCTGGGAGCAGGGTCCCAGTTGTGTCAGAGCCGGGACAAACACAGGGGCCCAGGCTTCCTTTTTCACTTCCCTCTAGGGGGTCAATCGCAGAGTCCCCGCACGCCCGCCACGCCCACTGCTGGCGTGTGATTTTTGGCAGATGGAGAGGAAATGACAGAAGCTGGCAAGAGCCTTAGTGAACGAGCGCACAACGTCCCCTCTGTCCACCGCGGCCACCTGATGGGCGCTGAGATAGGAAGTGTCACAGGCAGGCTGTCACCGGTCCCCTGTTCCCAGCAGCTCGCAGGGCGGGGGTGGGGGTTGTTGCTGGCGTCACGGAACTGCCCGGGCTTCCCTTGGCTGGGGCCCGGAGGCTGCGCCCAGATAAACCCCGTGTGCCTCTCGAGGGCCCAGGGCGGCTTCCTGGAGCCACCGGCAGGCGTGTGTTTCATCACCTCCCCTCCCCCAGCCGGCTTCTAACAATCACAACACTGACGCGCCCTTGGGGGAGCCAGGAGTCCTGTCAGGGCTGATGGCACAGCTCGCTCGCTGGCACCTGGGGCGGAGCCCTGGCTGCAAACACCCGGAGGGGAGTGTGTCCGCCCAGAGGGGCCCCCGCTGCAGCCCAGGCCTGCTGTCCCCGGGAGCGAGGGGCCTCTCAGACCCTGCCTGCCAACCATGCCAGCCTGAAGATGTACACCGGGCCCTGGACCACTGCACGCAAAGCCAGTCTCCAAGAGGGGCTCGGCCGCCAGCCCGGCAAACACGGACTCCTTCCATCCTGTGACTGCTCGGAGCTGCTAATGAGAAAGCAGGCCCAGGTGTGCCAGGTGCTCCCAGGAGCCAGCCTTCAGGACGCAACTTGTCCCCGAGTGCGCGGGCAGCTCCCGGGCTCCAGGCGCTTTCCATGACACAGAGTGCGCGGGGCCCACGAGGCCCTGGCGAGCGCGCAGCAGGCACAGGGGCAGGAGGCAGGCTCTTTCCTGTGCACACCCTGGCCTGGAAGCCACTTCCTGTGTTTGTCCCTCTTGCCCTCCTCGCTGGAGCCCTGACACCAGGGCTGGGGGCCTCATGATTCTCCCCCAGAGCTGGCTGGGCCTTTATTGAAGAGGCGCACATCTGATCTAACATGGCCACACCACAGCCGCATCAAAGAACATTTCAACAAAGAGAACTCACAAGTCTCAAGTTTGTTAGGGCACTTCCTTAGGAAAAAAGTCGGACAGGCAGCGGGGTTTCTCTGACAACTGCAGGAGGGCACAGAGCCCGGCGTGGGTGGGAGGCACCACACCAACACCCGCTGTGTGGCGTGGCACCCTACTCTTGGTGGATGGCTGACAAGCTCCTGTCCCAGGAAATGTCCCATTATCCAACCAGGCACAAAGACGGGGTCCTGAGGCCCCTCCCAGGGTTAGCTTTCCGTGGCAGGGCAGACAAGACAAGAAAAAGACGGGGTCCTGAGGCCCCTCCCAGGCTTAGCGTTCCGTGGCAGGGCAGACAAGACAAGAAAAAGACGGGGTCCTGAGGCCCCTCCCAGGGTTAGCGTTCCGTGGCAGGGCAGACAAGACAAGAAAAAGACGGGGTCCTGAGGCCCCTCCCAGGCTTAGCGTTCCGTGGCAGGGCAGACAAGACAAGAAAAAGACGGGGTCCTGAGGCCCCTCCCAGGCTTAGCGTTCCGTGGCAGGGCAGACAAGACAAGCAGCCCATGTTGAGTCCCGATCAGTGCTCTTGCACGGGCAGCAGGCAGGGAACCAGAAACTAAATGCCTGCAGCGCAGAACAACTGCTACGTGGGGCGAAGTCCACCCCCAAGGGCTACAGTTAGCTCTGAACTCGATCTCAGTGAGAGGAGAGGAGAGGGGAGGAGAGGAGAGGAGAGAGGAGGGGAGGGGAGGGGAGGGGAGGGGAGGGGAGGAGAGGGGGTCTAAACGCATGACACCAAGAGTCACCAAGGTTTCTCAAACCCAAGAACAAAGGAGCACCGGGCCCAAGCCAGTCTAGTGTAAACAGTGAGGGAGTGCGCGCGGGGACTCAGAAATAATATGATGTGAGGAAGGTCAATATCAACACCTATGGGAGGTGGGAGGGCCTGAGCGTAAAAATGAGGGAGGGAGGGAGGGCTGAGGGAGCCACGAGGGAGGACTGAGGGAGCCATGAGGGAGGACGGACTGAGGGAGCCATGAGGGAGGACGGACTGAGGGAGCCATGAGGGAGGGAGGACTGAGGGAGCCATGAGGGAGGGAGGACCGAGGAAGCCATGAGGGATGACTGAGGGAGCCATGAGGGAGGGAGGACTGAGGGAGCCATGAGGGAGGACTGAGGGAGCCATGAGGGAGGGAGGACTGAGGGAGCCATGAGGGAGGGAGGACCGAGGAAGCCATGAGGGAGGACAGACTGAGGAAGCCATGAGGGATGACTGAGGGAGCCATGAGGGAGGGAGGACTGAGGGAGCCATGAGGGAGGGATGACTGAGGGAGCCATGAGGGAGGGAGGACTGAGGGAGCCATGAGGGAGGGAGGACTGAGGAAGCCATGAGGGATGACTGAGGGAGCCATGAGGGAGGGAGGACTGAGGGAGCCATGAGGGAGGACGGACTGAGGGAGCCATGAGGGAGGGAGGACTGAGGAAGCCATGAGGGAGGACGGACTGAGGGAGCCATGAGGGAGGGAGGACTGAGGAAGCCATGAGGGAGGGAGGACTGAGGGAGCTACGAGGGAGGGAGGACTGAGGAAGCCATGAGGGAGGACGGACTGAGGGAGCTACGAGGGAGGGAGGACTGAGGGAATCATGAGGGAGGGAGGACTAAGGGAGCCATGAGGGAGGGAGGACTGAGGGAGTCATGAGGGAGGGAGGACTGAGGGAGTCATGAGGGAAGGAGGGAGGACTGAGGGAGCCATGAGGAATGGAGGACTGAGGAAATCATGATGGAGGGAGGACTGAGCGAGCCATGAGGGAGAGAGGGAGGACTGAGGGAGCTACAAGGGAGGGAGGACTGAGGGAGCCAGGAGGAGGGAGGACTGAGGGAACCATGAGGGAGGGAGGACTGCGGGAGCCAGGAGGAGGGAGGACTGAGGGATCCATGAGGGAGGATTGGGGGAGTCATGAGGAGGGAGGACTGAGGGAGCCAGGAGGAGGGAGGACTGAGGGAGCCATGAGGGAGGGAGGACTGCGGGAGCCAGGAGGAGGGAGGACTGAGGGATCCATGAGGGAGGACTTGGGGAGTCATGAGGAGGGAGGATTGAGGGAGCCATGAGGGAGGGAGGACTGGGGTAGTCATGAGGGAGGGAGGACTGAGGAAGCCATGTGGGAGGGAGGATTGAGGGAGCCATGAGGGAGGGAGGACTGAGGGAGCCATGAGGGAGGAGGGAGTACTGAGGGAGGGAGGGTAGTACTGAGGTAGGGAGGAAGGACTGAGGGTAGTACTGAGGTAGTGAGGAAGGACTGAGGGTAGTACTGAGGTAGTGAGGAAGGACTGAGGGTAGTACTGAGGTAGTGAGGGAGGACTAAGGGTAGTACTGAAGTAGTGAGGGAGGACTGAGGGTAGTACTGAGGTAGTGAGGAAGGACTGAGGGTAGTACTGAGGTAGTGAGGAAGGACTGAGGGTAGTACTGAGGTAGTGAGGGAGGACTAAGGGTAGTACTGAAGTAGTGAGGGAGGACTAAGGGTAGTACTGAAGTAGTGAGGGAGGACTGAGGGTAGTACTGAGGCAGTGAGGGAGTACTGGGGTAGTGGGGGAGGACTGAGAGTAGTACTGGGGTAGTGAGGGAGGTCTGAGGGTAGTACTGAGGCAGTGAGGGAGTACTGGGTAAGTGGGGGAGGACTGAGAGTAGTACTGGGGTAGTGAGGGAGGTCTGAGGGTAGTACTGAGGTAGTGAGGGAGGACTGAGGGAGGACTGAAGGTAGTAGAAATGGAGTTGAGAAGACGTAAAGGAATCAGTGTGCAGGTAGGGAGCCCTGAGGGCTGATAATGGCGTCGATTGGGGGCTTCTGAGGTGCAGTACTGAGGAGATTGGAGGTGGTCTGGACGGGGTGTGGCTTAGAGTGTGGTATGAGAGAGACTGGGAGGGAAGGCTGATAGGGACAGAAGCAGCTCTGAGGGTGACAGCTATAGGCATGTGGGCAGTCTGACAGATGAAAATGTTGGGAAAATGTGTGTGTGTGTGTGTGTGTGTGTGAGAGAGAGAGAGAGAGAGAGAGAGAAAGAGATCTCAGGCATCCCTCTAATGAGTTGACATGTGTCTGAGGGGTAATGTGTTGGGTGCAGGAGGGTCTCAGTGGTGGCACAGGAGAAGGGACTCAGGGTGACAGTGGTGACACAGGAAGGTCTCAGGGTGACAGTGGTGACACAGGAGGAGGGTCTCAGGGTGACAGTGGAGACACAGGAGAAGGGTCTCAGGGAGACAGTGGTGACACAGGAGGGTCTCAGGGTGACAGTGGTGATACAGGAGGAGGGTCTCAGGGTGACAGTGGTGGCACAGGAGGGTCTCAGGGTGACCGTGGTGATACAGGAGGAGGGTCTCAGGGTGACCGTGGTGATACAGGAGGAGGGTCTCAGGGTGACAGTGGTGGCACAGCAAGGTCTCAGGGAGACAGTGGTGACACAGGAGGAGGGTCTCAGGGTGACAGTGGTGGCACAGGAGGAGGGTCTCAGGGTGAC